AATATCAAACAAAAATCTAGCAAATAGCGCTAATTGCTCTCTTTTTCATTTGTTAGCCACGAAGAAAGAGGAAGCGCAGTGGAGACAGCGATGATGAAGCCAGCGCCTCAGAGAGTGACTCTGACTCAGATTCAGACTCCAACTCCAACTGCTCTGACAAACCTGCGAAGAAGGAGGAGGAGGTGGAAGACAATGGCGAGGAAGAAGAGGAGGGTGAAGGTGAGAAATCAAGTTGGTATTGCCAGATTATCATTTTCAGAATGAACTTAATAGTGCATATGTTTCCATAATTCGTGGCCTGTCAATCTGCTTTTGCACGTCTAATGGTTCAGAGGAGAAACCAAAGGAGAACTCTGAGGAGGACAAGAAGGAAGAAAAGAAGCCCAAAGATGACTCTCCCAGACCACGACCTCTCCACAGAACTTGTTCTCTGTTCATGCGGAGCATTGCTCCCACCATTTCCAAGGCGGAGATTATCGCTGTGAGTTGAACACACACAGGAAGCAGTGTTAATGACTCCACAGATGTCAAATCACTGAATAGTTTGTGTTTTGTATCAAACTTAGTATCTACATCTGTTTATTCTCTTAGCTGTGTCGGCGATACCCCGGGTTTCTGCGTGTTTGCTTGTCTGACCCCCATCCAGAGCGCAGGTTAGTTTTAAAAGAAAAACATTCTTTTAATTTGCTGCACTTCCACTTTATTTCAGGCTCAATATAATCCAGTAATCATGATTATCACTTTGGCCAGAATGTGCAACTCTAAACAGAATTTGCAATGTTTCAGGTTTTTCAGGCGTTGTTGGGTGACGTTTGACCGAAGCGTCAACATCAAAGAAGTCTGCTGGAACCTTCAGAACATTCGAGTAAGTCTACCTGTCTAAACTATTGACACTGTTGTTCTTCTTTCTGTCCTTGTGTGCGGCATTGAAGAGGTGTGAAATCATTAAGTTTTGCAAAAGTGTTTTGTGTTAAGTAGCGAAGCTCAAGATAACTTGCAGTTGTTGTTACCGTAAATTCCGGACTGTTGAGCGCACCTGAATATAAGAAAACTAGTTTTTTACATATATATCCCACACTTGTCTATAAGCTGCAGGTGTCCACGTTGTAACTTGAGATATTTGCAAAGAAATATGTTACACAGAAAGATTTTTTAAACTTTTAATTAAATACGTACCGGTAACATACACAAATACGTACCGTAAATGCTTTTTTTCCGAACAGTGCCTGTAACACGGCTGGTTAAAAAGTTGAAACAGTTGCCTGCTATGAAAAGTCATTGATCGCTATCTTCAACTTCCTCCTGCGCGCTAAAACCACTAAAATCATCTTCTTCAGTGTCGGCATTGAACAGTGTCAGAATTACTTTGTCACTTCCTCAGTTTCTCTTTCATTGTCACTCTCAATGTCACTTTTGTCTCGAGGCAAATTCATAAAAATCGTAAAAATCCATAAATTAGCCACATCATTGTTTAAGCCGCAGTGTTCAAAGCGTGTGAAAAAAGTAGCAGCTTATAGTCTGGAATTTACGGTACCTTTTTGTGGTTCTGGATATGCGTAAATCACAATGTGTTGCTGGAATCTACTTGTCTGTTATCATGATTAAATCACTTACTAGACAGCAAAGGGCCATGCACTGCAGACAAAGCAGTTGCTCTAAGAATGAGTTTTTCTTGTTTTAAACTTTTCCTATGCAATTCTTGGAAACATTTTTGATCAAATGGAATCCCAGTACAGAATTTGTGTGAAAGCAGACACACCGTTAGGGTGAAGTAGATCACATTTTCACAGATTAGACCCCCCTTGTCTGTGTTTATTATTAAACTGCTGGAACAAAATCCAACTGTATTCCACTCAGTGATCATCATTTTTAATGTGACATGACAATGTGACACAGACCATTTTTGTCAGTGAATCAGAGCTGCAATGTAAGCTGTCGTTGGAGGAGCCTAGAACAGACCTTTGTTTTTATTACTTGTGTGATCTGCCAAATAGCAGTTGAGGCTGTTAAAAGTCTGTTTTACTCTTTACCCTTCACAGCTGCGAGACTGTGAACTGGCACCAGGGGTGAACCGAGACCTGGCTCGGAGGGTGCGTAATGTTAATGGCATCACTCAGCACAAGCAGGTGCTCCGCAATGACATCAAGCTGGCTGCCAAGCTCATTCATGCTTTGGATGAAAAAGGGGACCTGTGGAGCGTCAAGTCTCAGGAAGAGGGGCAGAGCACTGAGGTACAGCACTGATTCTCTTGCATCTGCTTGTTTGTTTACAGTTTAACAGGTTGTTCTTAAATGATCTTGCCATTGATGAGTTACTCATTTATGTGTGGTTTGTGATTTCCAAAAGTTGCCCGCTCAGAACCCCATCTTGAAGAACATTACTGATTACCTGATAGAGGAGGTGAGCGCTGAGGAGGAAGAGCTCCTCGGCTCCGGGAGTGGAATGGATCCTGAGGAGAGCGCCAAGGAAGGAAACCCCGCTGAGACGACGGTGGAGAGGGATGACAAACTAGCCAAGGTCTCACTTCTGCAGTTAGGAATTTACATGCAATACAGTTTACTTTTAAAACTATACACTATATTTGATGTTCTCTGTCTTTATGATTTTGCTATTTGTAGATTTGATTCCTGTCGCTAAGATAACTGGATAGAACAGGCCAATGTATTGAATACAATCGTTTCTTTGCTGTGTATCTTGTTTCAGGTTTTGGACCGTTTGATCTTGTATCTGCGAGTTGTGCATTCAATTGACTACTACAACACCTGTGAATACCCCAGTGAGGATGAAATGCCAAATCGCTGTGGCATGATCCATGTTCGTGGACCCATTCCTCCAAACCGCATCACACATGGAGAAGGTCAGTGTGTTTGCCTGCACTAGGAAGAGAGAAAGTAAATGTTTTGTTTATTATATAGTGGCAACAAAATGATAATATATTGTCCAATATAGTGTCCACAGGCTCTTGTGGAATTCTGCTGCAGTTTCTTAACAACTTAAACAATGCATTAACATCCTTATCTTACACTTTACAATTTCTTTTCTGCGTGGATGTTTTGAAGTTGTAGTGTTTCGTGTAGTATGTGGAATGTTTGGTGAAAAAGTAACACATTTTGTGTGATGACACACTGGTGGCTCGATGAGTTCAGGGCGTTATTAGGTGCCTAAAAACCTGTGGCTTTAATCATTTGTAGAACCGTTGTCACATTTTGACACCTCTCACATTTTCCTGGTAACTTTCAACAGTGCAACAGTGGCAAAAGATGATGGAGGAGAAGCTGATTCCTTTGTTCAGTTTAAAAGAAATACTGTCTGAGGACGAGGCGACAAAGATGGGCCGCAAAGACCCTGAGGAGGAGGTTGAGAAGTTTGTCTCTGCCAACACTCAGGAGCTGGGAAAGGACAAATGGCTCTGCCCTCTAAGTGGCAAGAAATTTAAGGTAAGCATGTGTAAAGCAAAGTATTTAGGACGATGAAATGCTGTGACATAAGTCTTATTAAATTTCTTCAAAGACATGTTTTTATGATGTTTATTTGTGCTGCAGAACTATTGACAGGAATGCACAAGTTCATCACCTATATTTTACATTTCAAATGTCTTTCTAGGGTCCAGAGTTTGTACGGAAGCACATTCTTAACAAACACGGTGATAAAATTGAAGAAGTGAAAAAAGAGGTGTCGTTCTTCAACAATTTTCTGATGGACGCCAAGAGACCGTCACTTCCAGAAATGAAACTTCCTCCTCTCCCAGGCCCAGGTCAAGGTCGGCACAACATTCCTGTATCATCAACTCATAATAAACTATGAGCTCTTCAGCAGAAGACGGACAGATTAAATAAATTGTTGTCCACTGAGGCTTTAAAATGAAAATAATGGGCTCATTTGGGTCTGTGGTTGGTTTTGTCTTACAGGTTTGCTTTCTCCCAGTATGCCATTTCCTCCTCAAGGTCCCCAGGGTCCCATGGGCTTTGGCCAGCCTCGTCCCCCACTGATGGGCTATGGTGGTATGTTCTGACTGCATGTTTTAATATACTGATCATGAGAATGTGTTTGTCAGTCGGACAGAAGCCTTTAAACACTTATTTACAGCAGGTGGGCCTCCTTACCCTCCCAACCAATACGGAGGAGGAGGAGGAGGCAGAGGCAACTATGACAACTTCCGTGGACAAGGTGGCTATCTGGGAAAGCCACGCAACATCAGGTGAGAGCACTGTACGTGTGATCTTAACTTTGCTATGAGCGGTCTTTATTTCCTGGTATTGGGAACGTTTGAAACTCTGTTTTAAAGCTCACTTCTATTCTTCTTCTCTGGTTGTTTTTTCCTGACACCCTAAACCATCTCAGAATGTCACGAGGTGATCCACGCAACATCATTGAGTATCGTGACCTGGATGCACCCGATGATATGGACTTCTTTTAGAAGGTTCACTTGGTAGTTTCTGTCTTCACTCCTTCCCAGCGTTGTGTTCTGCCCGCTTTTTTGTAGTAGTTAGATTATTTCTCTTCTTAAATATTTCATTTTGTAATTATTGTGCAACTAGAACAAACTTATGTACTGCTGTAAACTGGTTCCTCAATAAAGATGTGATCAAATGACAGTAATATGTTTTAAATGACTTGTCAAGTTAAAATAATATTGTGTGTGACTTTAGACAGATCAGAGCAGCCAGATGATACAGAAAAGCAGCCAGTCAGAATTAATGGATGAGATACTGATGAAGAAATCCACTCAGGAAGTTCATCCCAGACGCCTTATATCCTTCTGTGGTCAGGTCACTTCAGAACGTAGGATCAAGGTCAGAAATATATGTAGTGTTTATTGAGAGGGACAAATAATGTTTGTAAAAGTTGTATTTTGTGCACTGATAGAAACACACATATTAAAATGTTTGAAGATTCCAGTTCTTTCTGATTTTCAGTGAGATTCAGTGATTTGTATATATTTATGCACCAGTGGGATTGCTTTTATCCAGCAAACATTAAAGAAAAAGAGACAAGACACATTTTGACATAACCAATAATTTATTATATGAAATTCATGGTCTTTCCTTCCAAGTGTCTAAATCTTCTGTCGACACACAGAATTGTAAAAATGTTTAGGTGTGTTTTGAACATCATGTCATACCTTATACAGTATACCAATACAGCTCCACTGTTTAGCAAACATAGTACTCCCACAAAAAGACCCTTGCATCATAGTTATTGTTTTATGCATATATGAATGTTACATTTTTTCAAAAACAGTCATCATTTCGAGTATGAACACAGAAACCTATGACATGAATGTATTACTGGAGATCAGGTCCGTCACATCAGATGCATACTGCCAGTCACAGTAGCAAATAAAAACAGCAGTGCAAGTCCATGTGAAACTGAAATGTCTAAATAATCCGAAGCTCGTGATTTTCCGATAGTCCACAGCTGACTTTGTGTTCATGGAATAGTTTGGACAGTCCCTCCATGTAAAGTTTGTGATAGTGATCAACCTCCTCGTCAGTTGGTGTGGTCCGCTTTGGCACTGAGATTGGACTTCCCACTGAAAGTAGTAGGAAGATATAATGGGCTCATATCTGTGTAGATTCTCAGTCATCCAGGTCAAGTTAACTCTAGGAGCTTCAGTCTTAATTATCTGGACTTCTCTTTTAGGTTCTTGAAGACGTTTCACCTCTCATCTAGTTATAATTCAGCTCAAGCTTAAGAAGCTTCTTAGATGAGAGGTGAAGCTTATTTGTGAACCTTAAAGAGAAGTCCAGTTGCTTTTTACAGAAGCTCCTAGAAATTGAGCTCTACATATTGAATTAGTTTTATTCATAGAATAATGAGCTACTCACCAACAGTTGTGATTGGAGTCCTGTAGGGCAGGAATGCGAAGCGCTCACCAACAAATAGACATGGGGCAAAACCCATGATCTTTTTAAATAAGTCCTGTAACCTGCGACCAAGACCGCCCTCTGAGAAAACGACCTGCTTAAAGAGTTCATTCTCTCCGAATGAATAAACAGGCACCAGATCAGCCCTACGGAAAAGCATCAGAGATTATTGGTGAGTGCAGTGACGCTCATTGATCGCTGGTATTTCACATTTTTCACAGAGTGTTCTTACCCAAACTCAAGAGCCACCTTGACAAATCCCTTTCTTTGCTTCACAACCACTGTGTTGACTCCAGGAGAGGACGCCAGAGACTCAGCAGCACCCCCTATGATAATCACCACTGCATTGCCTTTGCCACTTTTTGAAAGGAGATGGATAAGGCTTGGTTTGCTGACTGGAGAAAGACCTAATCAGACAAAGTAAGAGATTCAACAGTTCAGCTGATGAAGACTGGTTTCGTTTCAAGACAAAAGCAAAACAGGAAGTACAGTTATGAGAAGACATGTGAAAACATGTCAGTTGTTGCATGGAATAAAATCACAGACAATTGTCTGCATATCTGCACTGTTGAAAGATTCAAATTATTATTTGTCCTGTTTCCAGATGTGAAAATGCATCACGTTTGATGCAAATATGACACTACAAACTTCCTGGGAATCAATAACGTGTAGAAACTTTTGGCTTCCATTTGCAATTTAACTTAAAATTTGCCTTTTTACTTTATTATCACTCACACGTTTATTTTGTAAGTGTTTGATATGGTGACTACACTGTCATCAATAACTCCTGATCTTCTGCCAGAGCAGGCCTTAAATCAATTTTGACCTAAATAAGAGGCCTACCAGACTAAGACAACAACTCAGTCCCTTTTATTAAACTTGTTGTAAATACCTGCACTCATTATATACTCCCTAAAGAGTGGAATCCTGAAAAGGCCGGCCAGTATCGCCAGAGTGGGTCGCACCCCAGGAAATGCTTCAAGGAAACCACAGCTGTCTGTGCTGAAGCAGGCAAAGGCTCCAGCACTCATGATACCATGCGGATGACAGCCTAAGACGTAGTTTTTGTTGGGATTCAGCTCCGCTGTCTTCACCAACTGAGGAAGAAAATTGACACAAGAAGATTAGCATAGTTGATTACAGTCAGCTGGTAATCGTAAAACCAAACCCAATTCCACTGTGCATTATCTGATTCAATGAACGATTAAGAACAGACTTTCATGTGAACTGGTTCTCGCAGGCATTTTACTGGGAGAAGTGATGAAAGAGTTCTGATTAAAGGTCTCAGAAATAAAGTGCTCATTACATTGACTTTTATCTCATACTGTAATACCATATCTGCCTTAGCACAGCATCCCAGCAGATAATACCAGGATTTCACAATACCTGGAGAATGCAAAGAAGTAAATGAGCACAGGTCTTTGTCGTTTCTTCCCCAAAATGAAATACTTGGAAAATTGTAAAATGTAGTTCCATTTCATTTGAAAAGAATCCAAAGGTATTGAGAGAAATTGTTCTGAGTGAACTCAACACAAAGCACCGAGTTTGCTGAGATTTAGCTTCCAGTGTAAAAAAAAAGCATTCATGTGTTAAAGCCAAATTTGTCAAATCAGATTATGAGAAGAATGTCAAATATGAAAAAGGAACAAAACTATGGTGCAAAATAAAAGCTTACTTTAATAGGAAAGAAGTCTCTGTGGTGCTCCCAGACCCTCCACTTCCTCACAAATGTTGTTCTCCTGCCCCCTGATGGAGACAATGGAAATCATTTAATACTGCACACTGACTGTATACAGTGGTGTTTTCTGTACTAATTATCAAAGTGTGCTGTGTTTGCTACAAGTATACAAAAGATCTACACAGGTTATGACCACATTTCATAGCATACGACTTATTATGAGCAAGTGTGTTCGCAGTGAAAAAATAAAATACACTGAACAGGGTCAATAAACATGTATCTGCTGAAAACCCAGCGTTTGTTAAATGTGCTATTGATGGACACGACTCCTCCACGACTCACTGCACAAAGGAAATGGCAGAAGTAGTCACAGCTGTTTTCTCATTATTGGCAATTTGTTTGAATGGTTTTCACCTGTGACCAGCTCCTCCATTTCCTGTGTGCAATGCATCCTGGGAAAATAGCTCATCAACAGCAAGCTAAAGAAGTCAAGCAAACTTTTAGTCATCTTTATTTTCTTACTCCTTCGTTGTGAACACACCACAGACCCATGTAGAAGAGAATTTAGACACAGGATTGAACTAGTTTCCTGGATACTTTAATGATTTAGTTTTAATTTTATTTTTTAATTTTTTATTTTTTACCTCTTTCAGGGGTTTGCCAGTCAATCACCAGCCATACGAAGCACAGAACGGACAGCGGCCACAGAGAGGTAAACATAAGATACACCAGCAAGATAATGCAAGACACTCCTGATGTTGGATGTTTATCGGGCCGTGTCGGTTCATATGTTGGGGATACAAGAGATGTGTTACATGAGATCAATTAATCAATGCAGTGTTGTTTCTCAAGTGCAGGAAAGGGTAACAAAAAAAAAAAAAGAAGTCTTACCTAAGAAGAGAAAGGTTAGCACCCATTGCAGAACACTTATTGCCTCTAAAAACGCCTTCAATTGAGTCTTTTCTTTAGTCATTCTTGAAACCTGGAGGCCACACCATCATCACATCATCATTCAGCAATCAATAACCTTTTCAAGCTGGTCTTTCTTCGAGTAAAACATGTGAACATATAAGTAATATAGTTTGTACCCATAAAAATGACAGAGGTTGCTTTATCCGAGATAATAACAGAATGTATGATAGATGTAATTTTGATAAAGAACATATTGCACTGGTAATCAGCGTATGATCTTAATCTTCCTTTAGGGAAGAAAAAGACTTACCAACTTGTAAAGCATGCAGCATCGTGATCAAATGACTCACTTATGAACAAGCTCACAGGCAAACTCGGGCACAAGATTTTAATTTGCTCACAAATAAAACTTTTATCAGTCAGGCTGGTGTGACTGCAAAAACACATTTGGCTTAGAATCATTAAGACCACATAAAAACAGCTTTTACGATCGCACTGCTGAGCATAAAGCATTGTACTTTACCTTTCTAGAGTTTATTCCGAAGTTAATTTGAATGAACGCGGATTCGTGGCTATCCCACAGCTCAGCACGATGCACTTTGACCACAAGCGTTAAGTTGCTGATAACAAATCCACTTCCCCTGACACTTTGAAACACAAGTGAGCTATGTCAGAGATAAACACGGACAAGTTTTATTGTCGGATACTTTGCATATTAGAGCTTCGTTGCGTCATATATGGAAAACATACAATGGTTTTGTGATTATACTGGTGTTGCTGTATGTGCGGTGTGGCTCTTTTGTTTTTGGTCACCGTAGTGATCGACAGCACTACGCGTCATTGTGTTCTCTTGGTGTGTCCCAGTTTGAAGGAAGCTGGATTGGATTTCTCTGGTGTTGCATAATTGATTTGTGAAATGTAAAAAGTAGTCGTATATGAAAAGATGCATTTGTCCTGTTATTGCAACCGTGCTAAAATAATACACAGAAAGTTTCCCTCTTACCAGAAATGCTCCAACAGAAAAAGGGCTATTAACACCAATATTATTCCTGCTCACTGAATAATTCAGTACTGCTTGCTTTACCTGAGATAAGCAGCAGTTGTTGAAGCTCAGCTCTTTCTGCATATGTTTCACAATGCAAGCGTTTCAGGAAGTGAGGGGATTCTGCTACGTGAGCCACTGGAGGACTTTTTAATGCAAACTAGAATGGAGGAGGTGTTGAGCAAACAGCAGCAATGACAAACTGAGCAAGGACTAGATTAGAAAACAGGGAGAATTTACATCATGTTAACATGTCTGAGCAATTCTCCATGAGCAATGCTACAGAAAATAACAGTTCAAGTGTTCTGTGTAAATACATATTCCTGCCCTCCTCCCTCATATTTAATGTTGGGCCAAGCAATGCATGCTAAAGAGTTTTGTATTTGACTTGGGGAAATAAGTAAGCAGAGAGATCATAACAACAATTTTCCCAAATCATTGTTTTCAACATTTTTTTGCATCAACAAATCAACACAAATACGCATCACAGAGCAGACAACAACAACAAAAAAAGCTCTGATCGTTCTGTTGAAGACCCCCTCTGGTGAACATCATGTTTTCACGTTGTTAACATGTCCCCGTGGAGTTTATTTATATGCTAGAGGACATATCATGAGCGCAACAAACAGTCAACACCACGGCTGAGAGTTTTCTCCTTGGACCAGCAGTTTCCTGATGACACTCTTAAAGACATGTATTCAGACTTGGGGGATTTCACACATTCTAAACCCAGGAACCAGACCTGTCAATTTGCAGGGTGGAGCTTTCCATGTCATTATTGTTCTGCAGAATCGGGTTTTCGCTTCAAGCGCGTTGAATGAATTATTCCAGTATCGCAGCTTGTCTTTGTGTAGCGTAGAGTAGCTTTATAGTGTTTGAGTAGAGTCGTGCTGGTGTGCTCCAGCTGCAGAGAGAAGAGATGATTTCATAGGTCTGCACATTATAAAGGAATCATCGCTTTAAGGAGATGGATGATGGGATTACTTTTATGGAAATGTTCTTTTAAATATGTAACTCTGATATACACAGATGATTTTTCAGGGGTTTATTCGGTGACTTTAAAGGCCGTGCACTTTCTCAGATGTGCTCCTGTGTTAGCCTAACTGACTGGTAAATGGCCATAAGATATGAATGAGTAAGTTGCTGAATAATTTTCGAATATTGGCGGAAAATTCCAGGAACATATTTCAACCAGACAAATTAATGACACAACATGATGAGGGCGAGGCCAGTGCAGCTGAGGCTAACCTGCAGCTTTAATAATGCATAATGGCTGATCATTTGGGTTGACAGTAAACATGCTGGAGTGAAGGATGAGCATGTATGTGGATTTACTAATGAATTAGATTAAGGTTGTGGTGCATGCAGGGGTTTTCCTGCCTGAGAATGGGCCTTTTGGTGAGGGATTTCTGAGCACTTGATAAACAAAACATTCCATTATCCTTGAGTAAATGAAACCAAATATCACCAGAACAGTTCTTTTATTTGTTTTGGGGGTTTTTTTGGCTTCTTATCGTCTTATCATTGGATGGATTTTTTTTCTCTTGGCTAAAACCTCTGTGGGCCTAAAACTTCTTAGTAACTGTTTTCCACAAACACACACAGATTCTAAATTATACTGACCAAAAACATAAACGCTGCAATTGTTTATTAAATTCTATCCATTTCTTTTTAACAAAGGGGAATTTTGTTGTATTGTATAGTAGTATTTTGCATAGTTAATATATTTTTGGTGGGCTGCAAGATTAGCACCATTGCCTCGCAGCAAGAAGGTCGCCGGTTCGCATCCCGTTGACTCCACCCGGGATCTTTCTGTGTGGAGTTTGTATGTTCTCCCCGTGCAGTGTGGGTTCTCTCCAGGTTCTCTGGCTTCCTCCCACAGTCCAAAAACATGTTGAGGTTAATTGGTGATTCTAAATTGTCCGTAGGTGTGAATGTGAGTGTGCTTGGTTGTCTGTCTCTAAGTGTAGCCCTGTGATAGACTGGTGACCTGTCCAAGGTGTCCCCTGCCTTCACTCTGAGTCCGCTGGGATAGACTCCAGCGCCCCCGCGACCCTAGTGAGGATTAAGCGGTGTATAGATAATGGATGGATGGATATATTTTTGTTGTTTCCAACACGTGGCGTCTCTGCAACAGAATGGACATCATGAAACAACAAATTATACTGGAAATGATGAGGGGCAGATGGAGAGTGGAGTCATAAACCAGAATTCACAAGTCAAGTGTGTCCAACATTTGCATGGTGTGTGGTGCTACACATCTGCAATGCATAGATGGACTGAGGTTGCTGGTGCTGCTTGATGGATGTTGTCCTACTCTTTCTGAAGGGTTTTGGTAAAGCTGACGGACATTTTGCTGGACAGGATCACATTGTTGGACGCATCCTTTTAGAGCAGCATGTGGCTGATCTGTCTGAAACAGTTGAGTTGTGGACAGTCATAACTAACACGGTAGCATCCAGCATGCCAACAGGTTGCTCTTGTCTCTCGTCATCTGTGGACTTGCGTCATTTAAAAAAAAAAAGTTGCCTCTTAAGGTGTCCTTCTATAGTTGCCGGTCAAATGAGTTTGTGTGCACTGCTCACAATTTCTTATCATTGTGTTTTTAAACCTCACTTGAAGAAGGTGGTTGAGAGTTTGCAACCACTTTGAACAGCTTTTTTTGCATACAACTCTAAATGTAGCCACGACAATGAAGTGAGAAGTTTATTTTTTCTCTCTCTCTCTAAGTCAAAAATAAAGACTTTAACCCATGTCTTGAGAAAGTTGGATCTTTGGACTTTGGATTCAACTTCTTTTACAACCTGACAGTCCAAAAGTTTCCACTGATCCACATGATTAGGAGCTCATAATCTATTACTTAATTTTTACAACTCCAAGTGTCACTTTGCCTTTGGCTGTGCTCACCTATAGGCTTTAGGGGGCGTGTCAGTCCCTCACAGGCCATGTGTTGGCTAGTTGGTCATGTGACACCTCCACCCCCAAAAAAACCCCACATTTGTATTCTTAATTAAAACACAGGAAATCAGAGAAGGGATTATTGAGATGATGTTGTCTTTTGTGTGGATTCAACTTTCACACTTAAATGGGATGTTGTTCTTAGTTGTAAAGATGTGACTCCTTGGCTTTCACTGAAATGATGTACAGTTCATACAAAATGTCACAATTAATTCCTATGAGGGCTTAGCCTACTTTGTGGGACTCAGCACTGGGTTTGGTGGGCTTATTTTATACTTAATAGTCATATTTTGATCCCCATTACATCACTGTGATGCTCCCATACTATTTCATATATGACAGTTTTGTTTTTTTTTTATTCATCGTGGTATTTTTTGTGCAAAATAATGTTTGGAAACTATTAGACGTTCAGTGAGTCTGCTGCTGGATGAATTTCATCTCCTGATAACATCCTCTCGTCGCAGTTGGACTCAGCCACCTCGGATGCTTCTTCTTCTTCTCTTTTTTTCCCTCCTTTCTCGAAAACAACCACTGGTCTGCTCTCAGGAAGTCCTGTATGAATATTAATATGGATGCAAATGCTCAGTGAGGATGCCCAGCGCTTGAACCAACACAGCGCGCTGAGATCTGCGCATTCGTTTTTTTTTTCTTTTTTTTGTTTTGACGTTTGCTTTCTGTTCCTGCTCCTGCGCTGGAAGCATGCTTGTTTTGCGGAGGTCGTCTCGGAGGCTCTGTGTTTTTTTTCCTTCTTCTTCTTCTTCTCGAAACGCACAAGGATGCTGTTTGCAGAGGAACATTTT